ATGTTTAGAGCTGCAAAAGGAGGTTAGAATAATTTAGAACAAAATTCTCAAGTTACCCATGAAGAAATAGGTCCAGAGGACTTAAGTGACTTGTCCAAGGTCACTCAGCTAATGAAGGGCACTGGCTGTTACAAAGCAAGGTCTCTGGCTCCAAGGAGCTGCTTTTCCATTGCATCAGTCAAGATAGCATAAAGCTGCCCTAACCGGTTTGGCTCAGTGGATAGAGCGTCGGCCTGCGGACTGGAGGGTCCCAGGTTCGATTCCAGTCAAGGGCATGTACCTTGGTTGCGGGCACATCCCCAGTAGGGGGTGTGCAGAAGGCAGCTGATCGATGTTTCTAACTCTCTATCCCTCTCCCTTCCTCTCTGTAAAAAACTCAATAAAATATATTAAAAAAAAGATAGCATAAAGCCATTTCCAGGAATCTTAATAAACCAAAAAAGAAAAAAAAAGGAGGCAGAGGGGAGGAGACACATATACTTTTGAATTCTAAGTCCCTTACTGTATGGCAATACTGGAGACAGTATTTATTGGGGGTGGGGGGTGCAATCAGATAAATTATGTATGGAAATTTTTATGGATTTATTTTTTTTTTTTACTATAAAGCCATCTAAACAATGGCAGAAATAAAGAAGATTGTTAGATGTCCGAAGTTTTCTGGAACAACAGAGAAAGTCTATTCCACAGCTCAGAAGCAGTATCAGGGCATAGCACTTACACCAGGGCAGTCCTTCTTTCTTACAAGTTCACTTGGGATGTTTTTATCATCACCTAAGGAAAACTGTGGCCTTTGGTTATGATTCAGGGACTTTGGCTGGTAAGAAATGCATAGTTGAGAGGGCTGAGGTGAGGGGGAGGAAAAAATACTTCCATAGTATTTCCCTTTCTCATTTTCTTCTTTATTTTAGGAAGGACAAATTTCATCAAAGTTTCCACCGCATCTAGTAACATGTCTTACATCATTTTGATTATTTGAGGGAGCACAACACAAATCTAGCAGGTTTCAAACACCAGGTCGCCCAGGCTGCCCCCAGGAGCTTTCACGTGGGCGGTCAGTGGTCAAAAATAAAATCTGTTTTTGAGAGCTTAAGCAGTATTTCCTTCAACCTCAGAAAGGAATCTGATCCGAGCCCTTGCAGTGGATCTCTAAATGCTCAAGATTTGCAAGCTCCTATCAGACATTTTCATTTCGCTGTGAGCTTCTTTGGCCTAGAAGAGTCAGCTTTGTCCATGCTTTGCAAACTGTGGGCACTCATATAGTGCTGACCCTAATACAAATTCCAGACAAATTATTTTTCCCCGTGGTCCCTAACCCTTCTCTGTCTTTTTTCCTCTTCCCTCCCATTAGTTAGGGATGTAAATGTGAGAGACTGGAGCCAACCCCATCAATCTCACAACCATGTGCTGTAGCTCCCTCCAGCTCCCAGATTTTAAGACAGGAAGATGAAGGAATACGGCGTTTTAGTAAACTGTAGTATACAGAGGAGGGAAACAAAATGGGGCACGTCACATGGCCAGGGGCCGGATTTTTCTCAATTAAAAATAAGAGGAAGTGTGTGTCTCGGTCAAGTGGGCTGCTTGGAATTTCTCATTCTTAGGATTCCAGTCTGAATGCGCGCATCCTCTGGGAGGGGGAGGGAGGGCCCTCGCGTTTGGCTCAGTTCTGCCTGCTCTAGAGGGGAGGGGTGGAAGGAGAGGGGTGGGAAAAGGCCGCCCTGGGCCCCAGGGCCCCAGATCACTGTGGGACCCCGGCCATCCCTGGCCCCACCTCCCACCCGCACAACTAGGCTGATCCTCCCGCTGATTGGCTCTGGCGGGAGACCAATCAACTCGCGTCTGCCCCGCCCCCTCAGAGCCAGTCTGTGCTCCCCGAGGCCTCAAGGGCATGGGCTCGCCCACCACTGGGGCTGCGGAAGGGGCCCAGGCCACATCGGTGCCCTGGGGCCACTGGGGATGGGCGGGGTGGCAGACTTCCGAGGGCGGCTGAGGCCAAATCCTCAAGTCTGGGCAAAAGGGGGCTAGGAGAGAGAGAGAGAGAGCCAAGTGCCAAATAAATAGGGAGGAATGCAGGAAGCGGAGGTGACCCTGGAAAAGGGAAAGTGCCAGAGCCTACAGGGTTTGAGCCAGACAAAAAGGCCACACAGCGAGGGGAACTGTAAGGAGGGAGATGGCCAAAAAAAAAAAAAAGGAACCTAAAAAGATGGCTTGGGTCTGTGCCTTTGCCAAAGCCTGCTCTATGTGCCCAGCTGCAGTTTCAAAACGAAAAAGAGAATTTTGGGTAAACGCTGGTTAAAGGCAGCTGGGCTGCTGTGTCCTTTTTGCCCTCCTTGGGCTCTCAATTTACTCTCTGCAGAGAGTAGGCCACAAGTACTATGGAATTCTAGAATGGAGAAAATGGGGGAGA